GTCTTGTTTCAGACTTTTGCATATCATTTTCCAGTTCTGCCGGCACCATCTGTTGAAGAGACTATCCCCTCCACATGGGTCATATTTTGGTGTTTTGTTGAAAATCAATTGGCTGTATGTAGATTGACTTTTAAACTGGCAACATAAACATAGGTGATGATGTGTAATTCTCAGTGTGCCACAGTAGTGTTGTTGTGAAGTGCCGTTGAGTCGGTTCTGACTTACAGCGACCCTATATAGGGTTTCCGAGGAGTCACTGGTGAGTTTGAACTGCCGACTGTGTGCTTTAAATCAACTTTGCAGTTTAGCACATTAACCCTCAGCACCACATTAGGAGGCATAGAATGTCTGTTTGTCCCATACTGGTGGTACTAAGTCTGATCTTTTGGTTAAGGAGGAAGGTACCTGCCAGAGCTCTTACTGGCCATGCTCTACAATGGTCAAAGGTCCCCCCTGGGTTAATTTCTTCCCACTCTCTTTGTAGTGACCTAGAATTCTCCTTATGATTGGCAGAAACCAAGTCAGGAAGGGCACTGAGTCCACAGGAGCATTTACAGAAACTCCATCTGAAATCCTCCTAGTCTAGTACTTCTGTGTCAGACCTAACATGGACTATCCATGGCAGAACACTGCTAGCCATAATCTGTGATAATAAAGGGACCAGCAAAGGCTTCTTAGGATGGTGTGGTGGTGGTGTGTCATGGAGTCGGTTCCAACTCATCACGGCCCTGCACAGGGTTTCCAAGGATGTAAATCTTTACAGAAGCAGAAAGCCTCATCTTTCTCCCATGGAACACAGCTGGTAGTTTTGAACTGTTAACCTTGAGGTTAGTATCTCAATTCGTAACGACTATGCTACCGGAGCTCCTATCCTCTTAGGATAGCAACACCCATTAATATATTGGGCTCAAAAGGAATTATTGGAGGGGATAAGAAGAGTGCAAAGAAGGCAGGCTCCAGATCTAATCTTACAAGTCCCACTGTCAAACCTGGTCTCCAAAACTATACATGAGAACAATCACTGGCTGTGAGTTATGATGCTCCAATCACCTAGACTGACAATACTATGACACAGTCAAAAACTTGCAGGTAGTGGTGCTGCATATCCAAATCTCTAGTTTATGTGCTGAGTGTCCAGGTATACCGGATATAGAAAGTCTACACTCCCATTTGTCTTCCTCAATAATACCAAATCATACTCATTTGACCTAGCTTGGATGGCTAGGGCTAAGCTGACCAGAACCCGACCAAATGAAGACAAAGATGTCTGATACTGTAAGTGTAAACTGCTACAATCTGATGAACTGGACTTTTGCTTATGGATACAGTTTCTCAAAATTCCAAATGGAATTGAAGATTCTTCATGCCAAGGAACATGTTTGTCTCTTCAATGTACTGATTTATAATGATGGACAACTTAGACATTGGCTATCAAAAATGGGGAGGGGCAGCTATAAAGGGCTATAAAATGTTCAAGAACAAAGATGTCAGTCTGAGGTCTAAGGTGCACCTGACCCAAACCATGGTATTTTCAACAGCCTCACATGGATGTGAAAGTTGGACATTGAATAAAGAAGACCTTAGAAGAATCGATGCATTTAGGTTGTGTTGGAGAAGAATATTAAAAGTACCATAGACTGCCAAAAGAACAAACAAATCAGTGTTGAAAGAAGTAAAACCAGAGTGCTCCTTAGAATCCAGGATGGCCAAACTTCGTCTCTCATACTTCAGACATATTATCAGGAGGGACCAGTTTCTGGAGAAGGATATCATGCTTGGTAAAGGGGAGGGTCAGCAAAAGAGGAAGGCCCTTAATAAGATGGGTCAGCACAGTGGCAGCAACAATGGACTGAAGGATGGCAATGATTGTGAGGGTGGTGCCGGACCAGGTAGGTTTCGTTCTGTTGAGCATAAGATCACTATGAGATGGTATCAACTTGACGGCACCTAACAACAACATAAAGGCATGATGTGTCTGGCTTACAAGCTCTCATTGGTATATTTAGTATCAGAATGAGGGGGGTATAAGGTAGAATCCCTACTGAATAGTTTTCCTCTTTCCCAGATGGGTCTTGGTGAAAGGGGGTGGAGGAAGACACTGATAGGATTTTATGATTCAACTGTAACTGTTAGCAGGATTAATTGTGATTGTCAAAACTGTGATGGTAGAAGATGTGAAACTGAAAGGGGGGAGTAGTTAATCTTTTAATTCAGGAACAGATAGTCCCAGGACCATCAGGAAGAAAAAACATGAGCTCTCTACCTAGAAAAGCAACAACAGATACAGTGGCAGAGGTGTGGCATGGAGAGACAGTAACTGCAGCCTCTAGGCCTAGAAAATGTGCCCCTCTGGACATTTAAATGAATACATATTTTTTGTTTTGTTTAGTATTTGTGTATCAAATATTTTTGCTTTGTTCACTTATGAAATATAAGATATAAATGGGGAACCACAGAGAGGTATTAGAATAACTACTGTTTCAGAGAGGGAGTTATAATCATTGAGATGAAACAAAGTTTTTAGAAACTTTTGGATATTCTTCTTTCACACCACATAAGACTTGGCATGTGGTAATATGTTAAAAGTTATTTGTGACGTGGATTCTGAATATAATAAACTTTTCAAACATTCTTACATTAAAAAACAAAACAAACAAATCTAATAGTCACAAGATCACCTAAAGTTACCATTTCCTTAAAAATTTTTGCTATCACCTGAAACAAGAAATCACAGATAGCTGGCACAAAGTCACCTTGTGAGGGGGGACCAACTTACCTTGTGTACCAATGTAAGCATTCTTCTGTTTGTAGCCATCCATGAAACTGGCATTGATGTAATCTGTCTAATGAGAAAAAAGAGACATCATTGTAGCTGTGAGGTCTACACCATTGGATGAGAAAATGATATACTGGGTAAATATAAACCAAGGTATGGGATAGTCTCTTCTTCTCAAATAGAAAATGAGTGAAAAGCACAATTCAAAATCTCACTGCAGCAAATTATATTGGGACAATATAAAGCTTAATCTCTTCCTCACACCATACACAAAAATTAACTCAAAATAGATCATAGATCGAAATGTAAGCGCTAAAACTATAAAACTCTTTGAAAAAAATACAGTAGGAAATCTTTGAGACCTTTGACTTAGGCCAAGTATACTTAGATATGACACCAAAACACAAGTGAAAAAGAAAAAAAAATTGGACTTCATTTATAGTAAGTTTTTGTAATAAAAAAAAAAAAAGCCATGAATTGGTATATGTGTTGCTGTGTATATTGTCAACAACAACAAAAGAAAGTGAAAAAAATCCCACATAATAGGGGGAAATATTTTTAAAGTACGGCTGGCAAACTGCTTTCATAAAGCAAACCCTATGGAATACTTCTACTCTGTAGCACATTGGGTGGCCATTAGTTAGCTAGCCATTAGTTAGTTAGTGGAACTGGTAGTTTCAGCAGTTAAAGACTACCAGTTGTTCCAAGGGAGAAAGATGAGACTTTCTTCTCCCATAAAGATTTACAGTTTTGGAAGCCCTATACAGGGTCACTATGATTTAGAACCAACTGTATGGTACAAAACCAACCAACCAACTATCTAAAGTATATGGATCCCTGGTGTCACAGTGGCTAAAGCATTTGGAAGCTAACCAAAGGTTAGCAGCTTGAACCCCTTAATTAGGAGCTCTGTTTCTAGAACAATTTGTAGTTACAGAAACCCTATGGGGTAGTTCTACTCTGTCCTACAGGGTCGCTGTACGTCAGAGTCGACGCAACAACAATGGGTTATCTAGAATATATAAAGAATTCTTAAATCTCAGTATATAAAAGAAATAAGCCAATTTTCAAATGTTCAACATGTACAAAAAGACATCTCTCTAAAGAAGATATATACAAATGACCAATAAGCACATGAAAACATGTGTTCAATATCTTTAGCTACCAAGGAAATGTAAACCAAAACCACATTGAGATACCACTTCACACCCACTAGGATGGTTATGATCAATATGATAGGTAGTAAGTATTAGCAAGAATGTAGATAAACTGGAGCCTCTAAAATCTGTAGGTGATGTTGTAAAATGGGGCAGCCACTTTGAAAAATAGTCTGGCAGTTCTTCAAAAGGCAAAGAATAGTTCCACTTTTAGATACAAAGGGGCTTCAAAATATTTGTAGAAAATGAAATTAAACATAATGGAATTTTTCCATAAACCATAAACTTTTTGAAGCCCCCTTGCATATAATCAAGAGAACTGAAAACATGTCCATACAAAAAGCTGTACACAAATGTTCCCAGTAGCAATATTTTTAACAGTCAAAAAATGGAAACACTACAAATATCCTTTACCTAATAAATGTATGCGACAAATGTGATTACACTCATACAACAGAGTGCTTTTGGGCAATAAACTGGAACACAGCACTGGCACACACCACAGCACCAGAAGACCCTGAACGCATTATGCTAAATGAAAGAAGCCGTGTCTTATAGGATTTATATGAAATGTTCAGAATAGGCAAACCTACAGACAGAAAATAAATTCATCATTGCCTAGGGCTGGGGGCAGAGGGAGAAATGGGGAGTAATTGCCAAGGATACAGAGTTTATCTGTTTGTGGTTTTGAAAATGTTCTAAAGTAGATTATGATGATGGTTACACAACTCCATGAATATGTTAACATTTTAACTGGATATGTGAATTTCAAGAGGTAGCCTATGATGAACCAATGGTGCTGAAGGAAACAGCTCAAGCTGCACTGAAGGCATTGGGGAAAACAAGGCTCCAGAAATTAATGGACTGCAAATAGAAATCTTTCAACAAACAGATGCAACATTGGAGATGCTCACATGTCTATGCCAAGAAATCTGGAAGACAGCTACCTAGCCAACTGACTGGAAGAGAACATATTTGTGCCCATTCCAAAGAAAGGTGACCCAACAGAATGTGGAAATCATTGGAAAATATCATTAATATCACATGTAAGTAAAAGTTTGCTGAAGAGAATTCAAAAATGGTTGTAACAATACACTGACAGGGAATTGCCAGAAACTGAAGCCGGATTCAGAAGAGGACACAGAACTAGGGATATCATTGCTGAAAGCAAAGAATACCAAAAAGAGGTTTACTTGTGCTTTATTGATTATGCAAAGGCTTTCAACTGTGTTGATCATGACAAACTAAACTATATAGAGCATTGTGAAGAATGGGTATTCCAGAATACTTTATTGTGCTCATGAAGAATCTGTACATAGATCAAGAAGCAGTTGTTTGAACAGAATAAGGGGATACTGAATTGTTTAAAATCAGGAGAGGTATATGCCAGAGTTGTATCCTTTCACTTGTTCAATCTGTATGCCAAGCAAATAATCCAAGCAGCTGTATTATTTGAAGAACGTGACATCAGGATTGGAGGAAGACTCATTAACAGCCTGTGGTATGCAGATGATACAACCTTGGTTGCTGAAAGTGAAAAGGACTTAAAATACTTTCTGATGAAGATCAAAGACCACAGCCTTTAGTATATGTTGCACCACAACATAAAGAAAACAAAAATTCACACCAGTGGGCCAATATATAAATGGACAAAAGATTAAAGTTGTCAAAGACTTCATTTTGCTAGGATCCATTATCAACAATCAAGAAATCAGGTGATAGGCAAATCTGCACAAGGCTTCTTTAATGTGTTATAAATCAAAATGTCAGTCTGAGGCCCAAGGTGCACCTCACCTAAGTCATGGTATTTTCAATGACCTCATATGCATGTGAACGTTGGACAATGAATATGGGAAACTGGAGAAGAATCACTGCAGGTGTCGGTGAAGAATACTGAAAATCCCACGGACTGCCAGAAGAACAAACAACTGTGTTTTGGAAGTCCAGCCAGGAGGGTAAGACTTTGTCTCTTATACTTTGGGCATGTTATCAGGAGAGACCAGTCCCTGGTAAAGGGCATCATGTTTGGTAAAGTGGAGGGTCAGCGACAAAAAGGAAAACCCCCAACAAGATGGATTGGCACCGTGGCAGCAGCAATGACCTCAAGCGTAGTAATGATTGTGAGGTTGGTGAAGGAGCCAGTAGTGTTTCGTTCTGTTGTGCATAGGGTCACTATGAGTCGGTACCAACTCAACGGCACCTAACAAAAACAACTGCCGTCGAGTTGGTTCTAACTCATAGCAACCGTGTAGAGGGTTTTTGGAGTGACTGGTAGGTAGACATCGCCACCTTGCAGTTCAAACCAACCTTGTGGTCTAGTGTTTATCCTTCAGTGCCACACAGAGACTGAGGTTCCAGTGTGGCGCTGTGGGGTAATGTATTGGATTGCAAAACTGGTTTGAATCACTAGGCTGGCAGTTCAAGCTCACCAGTTGCTCCTCAGAAATCTATTCAGAGACACTATGAGTTGAAACTGACTCAAAGGCACTTAAACAACAACAACGTGTGTGTGTAGCACAGTGGCTCTGAGGATAAGCAGTTGACTTGAACCACAGTGTTGGCAGTTCGAGCCTACCAGCCGGTCTGAAGAAAAAAGATGAGGCTATATCTAGAAAGAGACAGGAATCCATATGGATTATATGGATCACCTGTAGGAGACCCAGCAACCTAAAAGCCTCATTCACTTCCAGTTGAGTTTCTCCATCCAGGTCCTTGCCGCGTTTAACCAAAGTCCATCTGGCACAATGGTATACCCTCCCAAGACCCAGGAGAGAGTAGGCATAAAAAACAACAAAAGATTTATTGGTACCTGCTCCCAAACCCTAGCAATATATGTAATATATATGCTATTACCCCAAGAGCTATCGTCACACTTTGAAAATAAATGTCACTTCCTTAAAGGAGATTCATTATTTCTTTATAATTAAGAGTATCAGCTTTCAGCATTCTTGTCACTGAGAGCACTTAGAATTAAAATCAGCAAAGTCAGAAGAATCATCAAATATTAAAACCAAAATGACCTCAGAAACAAACTTTAGATTAAGGAATGTTGAAATAACTGGAAGAAACAAGTACACTATATGTTGTTAGCTGCTGTTGGGTTGGTACCAACTCATAGCAACCCCGTATCAGGTTTCCAAAGAGTGGGTGGAGGGTATGAACCACCGACCTTGTGGTTAGCAGTCCTGTGCTTATCCTATAGCACCACACCAGGACTTCACCCTATGATACCAGTCATGTCAAATGGAAATTATGATTTGTTGTTATTGTTGTTAAGTGCTGATGAGTCCATTTCAAAGGAGCAGCTGGTAGGTTTGAACAGTCAATCTTGCAGTTGGCAGTCCAATGCTTATCCTACACACCACACCAATCTGGTGAACAATTCACTAGCAAACCTAAATCCCTAACTTTTTGTTGTTCTGACTCTTCTGTTGTGACCTTATGTACAACAGAAGGAAAACACTGCCCAGTCTTATGCCTTCCCCCCTCATCTTTACTATTACTGAACCCATTGTTATCGCCTGTGTGTCAATCCATCTCACTGAGGGTCTTCTCTTTCATTGACCCTCTACTTTGCTGAGTATGATGACCTTGATGGGCTAGTCCCTCTTGATCACATATCCAAAGTTCATGAAACAAAGTCTCCCTAGACTCCCTTCTAAGGAACATTCTAACTGTTCTTCAAAGACAGATTCTTCACTTACTGTGGAAATAAAGTCTCTGTCAGTGTTTGCAGTATTGAGAGGAACTACAACTCCAGAAATGATCTTCAGATTAACTATAGGTTGACTAGTTTCTTGGTACTCTGGGATTCACTTACTCATTCCAAGTATCAACTGAGTATCTGCCGTGTGCCATGCACTATTCTAGGTAGTAGAGACAGAGCAGTTAAGAAAGCAATGAAACCCAGCAATCACTGACTCTAGAACAGCATTTGACTTCGTTCAAGAGCACACACTAACAAGGAAAAATGATTTGCTCTGTCAGTCTTCACCTAATTAACAATTAAAAAAAAAAAGCCCAATCAAGCTAGGACCATCTTTGTAATGCTGATGATTCACCCTTAGCCAGTCAATCTCTTAGCCAATACTCCTGCAGGAAAACCCTCTGCCAGAGTCCTGATCAGGTCTATGGATTCAGTTTAGGGTCAAGTGATATTGGAACCATGACCCTAGAGTCTTGACCCATGTACCCTATATGCCCAAATACAAGGCAAAAATGTTTTCCAAAAACTATCCTAAAGAAAAAGAGATAGAATTTTATAATAAGTCCCTATGATGTCAAAATGGAAGATTTTTCCCAACTTCTGCAATCTGAAATTGATCAAACATGAAATCAAGATACATTGATAATTACTGATGATTAGAATGTGACAGTTGGAAACAATAAAGAAGTATTGTTGTGTTGGTTAAGTGCCATCAAGTTGATTCCGACCCATACTGACCCTGTGTAGTGTTTCAGAGGCTATAAATCTTTGCAGGGGTAGAAAGCCTCATTTTTCTCCCATAGAGCAACTGGTGGGCCTAAACAACTGGCCTTGTGGCCCACAGTCCAGTGCTTACTCTATGGAGTCACCATGCTAAAGAAGGATTTATAGTTACAAAATAAGGCCTTGATGACAGAAACAACATAAATGATTGCATGACAGAATTTTTTAAGGCCACTGACCCATTTCATTGGAAATAACTTTTTTCAACAACATAACTGATGACTATATATGAGGACCTCACTATATGGAATACACAGGAATCATATTGACTATCAGTCCATAAGTGGCAAAGTGCAACCTTGAGACTATTCCATCTGAATTTAAGAGACCACCTCAAAAATAAATTTGACTCATTTAACACTAATAACCAAAGATCAGACAAGTTGTAGTATGAAACATCAAGGACATAATACATGAATAAACCAAAAGGTCAATAAAAGCAGGGAAGAAAAGACCAAAATGGACAGACATCAGCAGAGACTGAAACTAGCTCTTGAGTACAGAGTAGCTTAAGTGAAAAGACAAAATGATGAAGTAAAAAAAAATGAACAGAAAATTTCAAAGGGCAGCTTGAGAAGAAAAAGTATTATAATAAAATGTGCAAAGACCTGGAGTTAGAAAAGCAAAAGTGAAGTACATGCTTGGCATTTTGCAAGCTCAAAGAACTGAAGAAAAAATTCAAGCCTCTAGATGCAATACTGAAGAGGCAAAACCCTAAACAGGGTTGCTAAGAGTCAGTATTGACTTGACAGCACTTAACAAGAACAAACTGGGCAAAATACTGAACAGCAAAGGAAGCATCAAAAGGTGGAAAAAATTCACATATCCACTATACCAAAAAGAACTGGCTGACGTTCAGTCATTTCAGAAGATATCATACAATCAACAATCATATGGTTTTGAAGGAAGAAGTGTAATATGCATTGAAGGTACTGGCCAAAAACCAGACTCGAGGAATTGACATGCTATCAACTGAGATGTTTCAACAAACAGAGTATTGGAAGTGCTTATTCATCTTTGTGAAGAAATCTGGAAGGCAGCTACCTGGCAAACAGACTGGAAGAGACCAATTTATTTGTACCCATTCCCAAAAAAGTGATTCAATAGAATGAGGAAATTATCAAACAAGATCGTTGATATCACATGCATGTAAAATTTTGCTAAAGATAATTCAAAACAATTTCAACAGCACACTGACAGGGGGCTGCCAGAAATTCAAGATATATTCAGAAGATCAACATCATTGTTGAAGTAAGATGGATCTTCCTGAAAACAGAGAATTCCAATTAAGATGTTTTCCTCGCTACTCAAAGATATTTGGCTGTATGGACCATAACAAACTATGGGTGATACTGCACATAACAGGAATTCTAGAACATCTATTTGTGCTCATATGGAACCTGTAGAAAGAACAAGAAGCAGTCTTTGAAACAGAACAACAGGACACACGGCATGGTTTAAAATCAGACAAGGTGGATTACTCTTAGGGGTGGAAATAGGCAAACTCTTCACCTTCTAGTCAGTCTATAGTATCAGGGTTGTATCCTTTCAACATACTTATTCAATTTGTATGCTGAGCAAATAATCTGAAAAGCTCAACTACATGAAGAAGAACGTGGCATCAGGATTGGAGGAGAATCATTATCAACCTGTGATATGGAGGTGACAGATACAAAACCCTGCTTGCTGCAAGTAAAGCAGATCTGAAGCACTTATTTACAAACATCAAAGACTTCAATATGGACTACACCTTAACATAAAGAAAACAAAAACCTTCACAAATGAACCAGTAACTAGCATCAGGGTAAACAGAGAAAATAGTGACATTGTCAAGGATTTCATTTTACTTGGCTTCACAATCAAAAGACTATGGAAGCAGCAGTCAAGACATATTGCACCAGGAAAATAATACAGCAAAAGACCTCTTTGAGGTATTCAAAAGCAAAGATTTCCCCTTGAGGACTAAGGTGCACTTGACGCAAAAGTTGGACAATAAATAAGGAAGACTGAAGAAGGATTGATACTTTGGACCTATGGTGTCAATGAAGAATATTGAATATATCATGGACTACCAAAATAATGAAGAAATTTGCCTTGGAAGACAACTAGAATGCTCCTTAATACTTTCACCCAATTTACAGTAAGTAAATAAAAAAGAATGCTTTTTAGAAGGGAGGATGGCAAGATTTTCTTTCACATACTTTGGACATGTTATCAGGAGGGACCAATCCCTGGAAAGGGTATCAGTTTGGTAAAGCAGAGGGTCAGCAAAAATGAGGAAGACCCCCAATGAGATAGAATGACACAGTGGCTACAATAATGGGTTCAAACATGGGAACAATTGTGAGGATGATGTAGACAGTGCTTCACTCTATTGTATGCAGGGTCAGGAATGGGACCCATCTAGATGGTACCTAACAACCACATAATGTGTAACATATTAAAGGGGAGTTCTAAATTCCTTTACTTTGAATGGCAACCTCAATCAATGCTGGGTTTTCTATGGTCACAGAGGTAACCAGAGAGAACTGGTATACCAAAAGGAAAAAATAAGAAAGAATATTTATTTAACCACTGACCTCAAAATTCTAGTGTTAGGTGTTACTGTACATAAATTATATCAAAGAGTGTTTTATAAAGGAATAAGCAATCGAATAAGCTATCAAGGATATATAAAATGAAGGCTGGAAAGGAAAAAAATATCCCAATTATTATGTTAATAGGTTTTTCTCCTTTGGGATAAACTTTCCAGTGACAATACCATACACTTAAAAAGAACTAAATTGAAAAAGTAGTTCAAATGATGACAAAGACAATAATGCTAAAGAGCTGGAATAAAAACAAATTAATTAAATGCTATTTAACCATTTCAACTCTAAACATTTATTCTACACTAGCTATTTATCCAAAATGTTTTCAGATCTTCTAGATGGAAAATTAGAGGTCACTTTAATCAGAGTTGTATTGTAAACATTGACTAACTGAGTTGGCTGATAGGGCTTTGTTTTTACAACTACACAGTAAAAGGAGGACTACTTTATCAGTTACTGAACTACAAAATTCCAGACTTTGTGCTGTTAACATGCACATAAAATATTTCACTTAATTTCCACTATAATATTGTGAGAGGGATCTTTAAGGACTTGCTGATTGTTATTTGGTTATAGCAAAATAGGAACTCAAGCCGTACCTCTTTGGCTTTAGAGTCTGTGTTCTTTCTATTTTATTAGTAAGTTTCACCATGGAATAGTACACCTGACAATATGGTATTTATCTGTCTACCTGAGTGTGGCCACTTCGTTTTGTCAGCTTCACTCTAGTTTGGTCCAGGCATGGTACATCCCCATAGCGGTTCTTCTCTAGGTTTCCTGGTGACCTGAAGGAAATGAAACAGACAAGCTAGAATAAAGAAAAAGTGAGGAGAGTGCCTATGTGTTTGTATAAACAAAGGCTGGCAGTGCAAAGGTGGGTGTGGACTACTGCTGGGAATAGAGATAGATGTCTGAGCTCTTCACTAATCAGTCTACAGTTCCACGCCATTTAAAGTTTGAATTCCTGGTGTAGCGCTGCAGGACAAGTGCTGGACTGCATACCATAAGATCTGCAGTTCAAACCTACCAGCTGCTCATCAGAAATCCTATACAGGGTTGCTATGAGTCAGAACTGATGCAGTGGCACTTAACAACATTTAACATTTACTAAAACAAGTATGAAGGAGTCTGGGTGTGTCGCTGCGGATTAATGCCCTGGACTGCAAAATCGGTATGAACCGCAAGGTGGGCGGGTCAAGCTCACCAGCCGCTCCTTGGAAACCCTACACAGGGTTGCTATGGATCAGAACTGACTCCACAGCACATAATAGCATAACAAGTATGAAGGAGTCCTGGTGTGGCTCTGTAGGTTAATGAGCTGGCATAGAAAGTTTGAACCGTAAGGTTGGAGGTTCAAGCTCACCAGTTGCTCTTAGGAAACCTTACACAGGGTCACTATCGGTGAGAAATGACTAACAACAACATAAGTATGAGTCCTGGTGTGCTGCTGTGGGATAAAGCACTGGACCCAAAGGTCTGCTTGAATTGCAAGGTCAGCAGTTCAAACTCACCAGCCTTGCCTCAGAAACCCTAAACAGGTTCCCTATGAGTTGTAACCAACTAGATGGCACTTAACAACATAGTAAGTATGTATTGCTCTTACAACCATAGAAAATTAAGATATTTCCCTTACAAAGAGGGGGAAAATGGAGTAAGTACTGCACCTCCCTGCCACCAAAATGCTAGCTGCTAATAAAGTCTCCTACTACTCATTTCTCAAGATATTAAGGACAAGTGTCTGAAGTTTCAGATTAACAAGGTGGGGTGACAATGTTTAACTCCAGTCCACCCATTAGCTTTAATACAATGACAATAAAGGAACTAAGCCCAAAAGGGCAAAGAAAGTAACCATAGAGACATCAGGAAGCAAAGATTTGAACCTATATTTGGAAAAGAAAAAACAGATGGAAACATTTTGGCACACTTGGACAAGTTCAGGAAGCTAGGACCCAGGGAGGTACTTGCATAGAGGTACAAGGACTCAGCTTCAGAACTCTCACAGTTGGAAGGCCAGGTGAGCCAGAAGGCTAACCACATTGAGATTAAGTGAAAATCTACATGATAAATACTGAGACTCTCCCCTCACCCCTTTTCCTGGCCCAGCTCCTAGCATATTCATACCTAGGCCTGGAGAAAATGAATAGCTTACAAGAAAACAATTCTGTTTTGTAGCTGTCAGAGCTTCCCAATTATAATCACACACATAAAAATAGAGTTTCCAAGATGTTTTTAAGGATCTCTTAAATGTGAATCAATAGATAGCCAAGGATCTTCAGTAAAAAAAAAGTTAACACAAAAGTAAGAGACCAATTCAAATACACTTGAAAACAAAACAAAATAGGTGAGTCAACAGAGAAAGTGATTTCTAAAAAGGTTACAATTAATATCCTCAGTGAGAAAGGAGAGACACTGTGCATATAAAACAAGAACAGGCTACCGCTATGGACTGTATTGTGTCCCCCAGATTCTGGGTGTTGGAGTCCTAACCCCTATACCTGTGGATGTAATTCATTTGTTAATAAAGCTTAGACCGAATCACTTTTGAGATACAGAAAAAGCAGATTACAGAGTTGTTGTGAAGTAATATCAAGATGGTTCTGATGAACAGGAAAAGGTAGAAACTTTAACTGCCTCTTCTCTGCCAATGCTAATCAGGGTACTGAATGGGACCAATCTTCCCCACCCAGGAGACAATCCCCATGGTTTCCCTCCTGTCCTCAAACAGGTCAGCACCCTAGACCCTCCCCGACTCTGACCCCATATAAGCCTGTGTTGCCCTCCATTTGGGGCTCAGAATCTGGAGAAATGAGCTCCTCTGAGCAGGCTGGCTTAATCTGAAACTCTGCTTCACCTCTCTGAGTGGCCTCCTGTGTCTTTGACCACAGATCAAGAGCTACTGTGGCACTCTCCAATCTAAACCTGCTGTAACATTGACTCATACTGACCTTATGTACAACTGAACAAAACACTGTTTGGTTCTGTGCAGCCCTCACAATCATTATTATGTTTGAGCCCACTGGTGCAGCCTTTTTGTTAATCCATCTCACTAAAGGTCTTCCTCTTTCTTGCTGATTCTCTCCTTTACCAAGCATGATGATGCTCTTCTTCAGGGTCTGGTCCCACCTGAAGACCTATACATGAGAGGAAGTCTCTCCATCCTCCATTCTAAAGAGCATTCTGGCTGTACTTTCAACACAGTTTTGTTTTTCTAGTCATTCTCATTGTGAAGTGCCATCGAGTCAATTCCAATTCATAGTGACCCTGTAGAGGATCTTCAAGGTAGTCTATGTCTATTTCATTTTCTTTGCCAATACCATAATTCAGAGGCATCAATTCTTGTTCAGTCTTCCTTATTCACTGTCTAGGCACAGAGAAGCAACCACAATGAGAAAAAAATGCCACATAGAGATCACCATGGACCATCAGAATGCCAGAGTTACAGAAGCTAAAACTAGGCTGTTACCTCAGAGAGAGCCTTCCCTAGAGCCTTGGTGGTTAAGGTCAGCAGTTCAAACCCACCAGCCGCTCCAAGGGAGAAAGCCGTAGCAGTCTGCTTCTGTAGATATTACAGTGTTGGAAACCCTATGGGCAGTTCTACTCTGTTCAGTAGGGTCTCAATGAGTTTAAATTGACCCTGCAGCAAAGTACAATAGCCTCCTAAAGTTATGAAAAATCAATTTCTGTTTGCTAAAGCCATCCACTATGGTATTTCTGTTATAGCAACACTAGATAATTAATAAATATGCTATGAAAAAGGTACAATCAAGAAAAGGCTTTAAATAAAATAATATTTGGAAATAAAACATGATATCTAAACCAGCACCTCAATAACCCAAAATAATCAAACCCGCTGTGGTCATGTGGACTGTGACTCCTAGAGCAGAGCGGAGCTACCACACAGGGCTGCTGTAAATCCTTACGGAAGTGAACTGCCACAGGTTTCTCCTAAGAGACAGTTGGTAGGCTTTTTTCAACCACCATATCACCAGGGCTCTTTACAACTTTAAAGAAAAAATAAAGAGTTGAGAAAATTTCTGAAAGATATATAAAGCAAAAAGTCAAAGTGATAGAGAAAAAAACATAAAATTAAGAAAATACAAGTTATTCAACAGGAGTCTGACCTGTTTCTGTAAATAAAGTTTTATTGAAACATCAAGTCCATTTGTTTGCATTTTGTCTAGGACTGCTTTCACCACATGACTGCTGAGTTAAGTATAAGCAACCAATACTACAAGGTTCACAAACTTAAATTCTTTACTACCTCACCCCTTAAGAAAAGCCAACCTGCTCTAGGAGACCCAACCAGATTGATAGAACTGAAGAAATTAAGTCTCCAAATTAAAAAAACCTACAAGCATCCAGCACAATGAATGATAAAAGGCACATCATGTGAAAAACTTTAACAGAAATATAAAGAGATTATCTAAAACTGTTCAGAGAAGGGGAAAAAGATCATTTACAAAAACATGAGAAAGAATAACATCATTTTATTCATTCGCACTGATAGCTATGTGAAGAGCATTGCCTTAAAACTTCTAAGGTAAAATTATTTCCTATTTAAAATTCTATGTTCATTAATACAGAATGTTAGTAAATAAAGAAAAAAGATACAAACCCCAGGAAATGGGATTCAATAAAGGAAAGTGGGAGGCGAAATTGCAGAATGAAAGCGAAGAAGATTTAGAAAACAAACAACGTTTATACTAGAATAAAAGACATTCTAGAAGTGAGGTCTCAAAAAAGAACTGAAAGATTATCTGTATACTTAACCACTTGGAAAATAATAATAATAGTGTAAAGTAAATCTGATAAAGCATATGAAAAAAATAAGGATCAGTATGGAAAAAAAGCTAAAACCTAACGAAAAACACTAGTTAATGCCAGAACAAAACAAAATTGATTCAATTATTTAATCTATTTCATCATTTCACAAAATTCCACTTAGCTCTACAGCAAAAAAACACACAAAAAACAAAAAAACTTACATAAGTTTAATATAATCGCTGATTTCTAATGTAATAAAAATTTATAGCTTAATTTTGTTGAAAAGATTGTCAAAAGGGATGTGGCAATCTGGAATAAGAGCTAAATGTTCATTTATAATAACAGATCAATTTGCTGGTACTGTTGTTAGTTCTCACTCACAGTGACCCTGGGCACAACAGAACGAAGCACTGCCGAGGCCAGCACCGGCCTCACAATTGCTATACTTGAGCCCACTGCTGCTGCCACTGTGCCAACTCAGCTCCTTAGGGGTCTTCCTCTTTCTTGCTGATCCTCCATTTTACCAAGCATGATGGAACTAGTCTCTCCTGATACCATGTCAAAAGTATGAGTTATAAAGTCTCACCATCCTGGCTTCTAAGGACACTCTGACTGGACTTCTTCCAATGTAGACCTGTTTGTTCTTCTGGCAGTCCACAGTATCTTCAATATTCTCCAACACCATAATTCAAATGCATCAATTCTTCTATGGTCTCCCTTATTCATTGTCCAACTTTCATATGCATTTGAAAGATCATTAATAGATCGATAAGTCGTAATAAATCAATGTTTATAATAGACAAGTAAAGATAATTGCCTTAGTTATCTAGTGGTCTTATTACAGAAATATTACAAGTGGATGGCTTTAACAAACAAATTGATTCTCTCACAATTGTGGAGGCTAAAAGTCCAAATTCAGACTGCCGTCTCTAGGGGAAGGCTTTCTCTGTCGGGTCTTGGGGAAGATTTTTGTCTCCTTTTGGCATCTGTAGATCCAGCATTCCTTGAAGATCTCCACGCG